TTATTCCATCTTCTTTTGAAAAGTTTCTGTTCATTTCGCTTGCCCATTTGTTGATGGGGTTGTTTGATTTTTTCTTGTTGATTTTTTTGAATTCTAGATAGATTCTGGTTATCAGCCCTTTATCAGATGTGTAGAGAGCAAATATTTTTTCCCATTCTGTGGGCTGTCTATTCTTGAATGTTCAAAATGTACCTCTTCATTTGATCAGCCTACCAAACCTTCTATTATTCCTTATTTTGCACATATGCACACGCACGCGCATACACACACACACACACAGTTTCTCTTCTCGCTCCTTTTCACAGCCAGACTTCCATAAAACAGAATTTATCTGTTTAGCGTCCTAAATCCTTAAGGCAACCTCTCTCTGCTTCATTCTGCCTATTCTGATTTTCCATTTCTAGAACTCCTCTGAACTAGCCTCTGGAGGTCACAAACCACATCTCTGCCTTCTTATTCTTCCTGATGACTCTGAAATGCTTCATCATTTTTCTTGCCCTTCCGCTTGAAATTCTGCCCTTCCCTGGCTTTTTTGCCAAGATTTTCACACCTAAAGGGCTGCAGCATCTGCGTCTTCCTCCCTCTGCTCTGCTTGCACCCCTCCTCCTCTGCATCCGAGTCTGACTCATGCAGGATCTCACTTACTGACCACCTTTATCTATCATATTTTATCAATAATAAAGTTAGGACTAATTTTACTTATGACTGATCTACTGAACTTTTCTGTCCAGTTTTCTGAATCCTACGTCAAATTTTCATCTAAATATGTAAATCAAACCAGCATCTCACCCTGTACAAATCACCATACCTCTTCCTTGAAAATACCTCTTCTTCTTGTCTTACTTCTTATAATGTCATTAACACCGAACAGTAAGTAATTCATTCTAAAAATGCTCAGATTTATATTTTAGATTTTTAAATTCTTTTCTACCCCCAAAACCAATATCCCAACCTTTTCTCCTATCTGTCTCAACTTTGTCATTTTTTTCTCCATATTCCCCCTGGCCTCGACCTATAAATTGTGGGCAGCATCCTTCCATCAGGTCACTTGATCGTAACCAGCCTCCTCATTCTAACACATGGCATCTCTCTAACATATCACTTAGATCATGTCATTCTTATTCTCAAATATTGGTCAAGGCTGTCTGTTGCTTATTAAAGTCCATTCTTCTCATTCTGTCAGTTGAGGTTAAGCAGAATTTGACCTCAAACAATCTTTCTAGAGAAATCAACAATTATCCCTCTATACTCACCTTTATGATGAGGCCAAATCGGATGCCCCCATATAACCTGAACCCACACTATGATTGCTTTTGCATTGCTAAGACCTAGACTGGCTTCTGACCTCAGTCAACTTTCTGCCTGTTCAAGATCCAATGTTAATAAACACCACCTCCCTCCCCGATGAAGCATGTTGCATTGATGTCAACCAGAATGACCTCTCAGTTTGATGTAGTAGAAAAGGTTTGTTATCAGCTGGAGACCTAGAATTCATTCATTGCCCCATTACTTAACTTTCTCAGAGCCCCAGTAGCAGGTGATTTTTCTGAACATCAGTTTTCTTATCAGTAAAGTAGGCAAATATTACCCAGTATAAAAAAGTGATATGAAAAGTAAATGAGACCATGAATGTTAAATATCTATTGGAGTCCCCGGTACATTTGTACATTTCAGACACTTAATAAATGTTATTCTGCTGTTCCTATTCTGCATGGCTTCATATTTTTTACTATTTCTCTTAATCATACACATTTTAAATTTTTTATGTTACCTATTATCATTCCAAAATAATTACAGTGCCACAAAATAATTAAATTTACTTTGTTAAAAATTTTATAGATAAGAGAAAACAAGGAAAAATGAGGTAAGGTTGGAGTAAAATGAGCATATTAGAGAAATTGTTTAGCATTGATTTCTGTGTGAATTAATGCTTCAACAAATATATTTTGTAAATAAGTTATGATCGATACGGCCTGTTATGACTTACATAATACTTCTTGTTTCTTTTGTTCCCTTTTTTTCAAGAAACTGAATTAGTTTGACAAGTTATAATGGATCCCACCCAAGTGAAATAAATAAACATTCCCATTTTCCAATAAATTAACTCTGGATTCCAGAACCTGACCTGTGCCACTAACTGAAACAAGAAAACATAGATAGCGAATCAATGATCAACATAGGTAATTGGTGAGTTGAGGGCCCAGCACAAATCACAGTGTGACGTTTACCTTCCCAATGGCAAAGCAGAGGGATAGTCTAGTCTGTCCTCCCCGTTACAGTATTCCATACAACAGTGCTCTAAACATGTAAACTTATTCTTGCTTCTGTAAGATATCAAAGTCACAGAATAAAAAATAATTTTAGGAGAGAACTCTCAAATCACCTTTTGGTCCCCTCGTCTTACAGATGAGGACACAGTTTTGAGAAGGTAAAGACACTTACTGAAACAGAGACACAGGGAGCCCAAGACTTGTGCTGTGTTCACGTGTGGATGGGAGGCCAAGCAGACATTTCCCCAGTGCTCTTCACATTCCTATTCAGAGCCTTTTCTGCTTCTCTCACTTTTAAATACATTGTGTTTTGAAATTAGTGAATTTATATAATGCATGTGTGAACTAAAATAAAATTTTAAGGCTCACCCCCCACCGGCTGACTAAATGGACCCCCTCGTGGCCAAAGGAATATCCTAAAACTAAATTGCCTGCCAGGAGGAAGGAGGTCAGACATGCCTTATCATGCCCCTCTCCCTTCTTGGGGACATCCTTTGTAACCCATTAATAGGCCTAAGGGTATTGAGGACTAAACTCTGATCTTTTTCTTTTGCTCAAAATTCCTTCCTAAGGAGGCCAGATGAGTCATGCCTACAAATGATAAAATCTCAGTAAACAGGTTTTTCATGACGTTTTTTACTTCCCAACCTGATTCTGGTATAGCATCATGGGATAGATAAAAGACTCTCAAACATTCCTTTCATCTAGCTTCACGTGATAGACAAAAAACCCTCAAACATTCCTTTCAGCTGATTCCTGGTCTTTTGGACAAAACCTAACTCTTTCAGCCATTGGTCAACTAATGAATCCCTAAATCCACCTATGATTTGTAAGCCTCCACTTTGAGATGTCCCGCCTTTTTGGGCCAAACCAATGTATGCCTCCCATGTATTGATTTATGACTTTACCTGTAAGCCCTGTCTCTCTGAAACGTATAAAACCAAACTGTAACCCAACCACACCGAGTCCACTGCTCAAGATCTCTTGGGCATGACTCCGGGTCATGGTCCTCGAATTTGGCTCAGAGTAAATCTCTTTAAAATTATTTTACAGAGTTTGTTCTTTTTTCCATTGACACATGAAAAACAGCATTACCGTATTGTCTCCAGTCCACGGCAGGGGGTAAGTGCTGCCACAAAATCAGGTTGTTTAGATGATTTAAGTAGGAAGGTAGGGCATGAAAAGCCTTCTGATTATACCACACCTAAAAAAGAAAGATAATTTAATGGCGTTCATAGAATCAGTTCCTCGGTCTGCGCGTCAGCTACGCTGGAGCACAGGGAACGCACGTGTCAATTAGCTCCCGCCGCACCTGAGCGCAGGACGCCCAGCAACGCCCCTCACGGCTGACGGTGAGCAGTCAATTCCAGCCTGCTAATTTTATATTTATCTCAAGCATATAATTTACAGCTAAAAATAGATTAATTTTTCCCAGAACAAATGTGAATCTTGCTCTATAATTATATTCTTACAGAGACAAAGGAACCGAAGCGCATCATTTTTTTTTTTTTTTTGTTCTTGGTGAGCTAATGAAATTTGACCTGCAAATTAAAAGTGTGGAAAGTGATCAGAAAAAAATGATTACTTTCAAATTAATACCTGAACATAGGGGAACATTATTTCTCAAAATAAACTGAACTGAATATTTGCTGAGCAGGAAGAATAAAGTGGCATTCATGTCAGGAAAAGGGTGAAGGAGAAAGTAAGAGAAAGACTGTATTATTAAGTTGAGATAAGTATCATTCAAAACACTAAGGACATCATCAGTATCTATATTTCAGAATATCAGTATTTTAATGAAAAATGAAAAATATATGCTCTGGTGTCTTCAAGAAGTATAATGAATCAAACTGGCACATTTCGGTCTTAATTCAATTGACTGAACAGTTCATTTCTCCAGACAAGGAGAGACAGACCACCCACACTGTAGCATTAGAGGGGCCCCACAGAAAGTTGACGCCATTTTAAGTTAAATCATTCAAGTTCTCACAGAAGTTTATGCAAAGTGTGGAGCAGATCTCAAGCCCCTTCCAACTCGAAGACTTCCAATACATTTTCCTTCCATCCCATCACACTATGACCAATTATTTTTTCAACCAGAATCCTGTGTGGCAGCTACTGTATTCACAGGAACAGCTAAGTAATAAAATATTGCTCAAGTACTTAAAAATCAAAAATAAAACCCTGCTACACACGCCAACGTTCCCCAATTCTTTCTCAGATAGCCTGCTTCATTAAGCAACTCAAAAAGCTGACCCCATCTTTCATACCACTCATTCCATTTTTCAAATATTTTCTTAAGTTCACAGAGAAATCCTTGCCAATCATTTTTTAAACTCCAAGGGGAAGGAGTGCAGCTTAAATCCTACAAACCAAAGAACACAGGACATTCTTTAGGGTCCAAGGCTATGCCTAGCAGAGTGGGATTGTGTGACCAAAAAAAAAAAAAAAAGATCTAAAGCAACTTAGACACACACTTCTTCAAAGTAGGGTAAAGCCTGACTTCCATTCAACATGGAACTGAAGGAGCTTATGTCACATTTCAGAGGCATGTCCCCTTCTCCCACCCAATAGAGAGACTCTCCCACACAGCTCTGCACCGTCGCCCTCTGGGGTCTCGCCCTGGCCTTCCTGTCCCCTCCTCACACAGACACACACACACACACATGCACACACACCTGCTCAGGCACCAGCCATATTTCTGGAAATGGTAGAAACTTAGGGTTCTGTTAAATTCAAGGGACAGACTAATATAGCAGAAAATCCATTGCCTACGGAAACTAGAACCTCCTGCTGACTCTGTTTGTGACCTCTGTCGCCTTCACTGTTTAACTAGAGGAAAAAAAAATGAGAGACAAAGGTAGTCTTTGCCCTTGGAGTAGGGGTTTTCAATTTTTGTTTTGTTTCATTTATTTGTTTTAATTTTTGTTTTAAAAGCAGGGTGATATTTTCCATCTTAGAAATGAAGGTGAACAACTGTATAGAAATGCAAGCTTGGCGGAGTGGAGGTGGGGAGACAGGGGCCTGCCCACTCAGCCTCCCTTGCCTCATCCTGCGTGGGCTCTGAGGCTTCTGCCCTAGATTCCTCACTGTCCCTACAACCACACGCTTTGTCATGTGATTTCCACACCCTCCCATTGCGACACTGTACTTGAACATGTGACTCACTCTGGCAATAGAATGTGACACACAAGCAGAGGTTTGAGAAGCGCACGCATATTCTCGCACTCCTTCGGTGCCGCTGCTGTCACCCTGGGAGCATGGTTAGGCCAACCTGCTGGAGGATGAGTAAATAGCAGAGCTGAGCCCTCCACTGTCATCTGAGCTGAAGCCAATAGCCAGCCACTCACACACCACACACACAGTCATTCCTGGCCAAGATCAGCCTAGGGCAACCTTTAATAGCAGAACCTTGCGGACCCATGAGCTAAATTAATGTCCCTTGTTGAGGTCACTGAGGTTTGTGACTGTTGTTATACAGCATCATTGTGGCAACGGACAACTAACAGTAATTGGCACTAGAATGGGGTGTTACTGCACCAAAAACTGAAAATGTGTGGCATTGGTTTTGAGGCCAGCAAGTGGGAGAACAAAGAGACAATTAGAGGAATCTGTAAATACAGGAGAAAACATTTAGTAATGCTGGAGAAAATGGCAAGAAAATTACTGTAGATAACTGAAAAAATGTTGACCCATCCATACTATGCAATGTCAAGACATTGGGTAAAATTGTCACCTGTGCTAAATTTGAAGATACAAATTGCCCGAAAAACATCTTGATCTGGGTGTGGTGATCTCTAGGCAAAATGCAGTAAGACATGGCCACAGAATAAAGATCCAGTCGAGGGTGTGGCTGCAAGAACTATGTTCAGATCATGGAAAGAAAGATGCTAAGGAACCCTCTCAGGGGGACAGAGGGCCTCTAGGAACCTAAGGGGTATTTCCCCATAGCATCCAAATTTGACAATTCCCCCAATACGAATAATTGATTTTAGAGAGCGGCGTGTCTCAACAGGAATTGTGAGAGTGGCTCGTGGACCTCAATTAGATAAATAGAAAGACTAGAGTTCTGTACAGGGAGCTGTATCAAAAAGGCTGGATTCAATGTAAAGTGCAAACAGGCTCCTAGAGCCCAGCTTTCTACAGGCAGGAAGCGGGCTGCAAAGCTGCTCAAAAGGTGTATTTCCAAATATCGTCTTCACACGTAGCCATGGAGGGTGATGAAGAGGAAGCACTTGTCAGAGAGTAGAGTTAAGGGCCATGGTGGACGATGGGCTGGGGGACATTCCCAGGAGACAGAACCCGGCCGTGCTAAGGAGCGGTCCCCACAGCCGGGGTGACCTGGCACCATGTGCTAAGCACAGCCCACAGCAGCCCAGCCCCACCGCCCCATGAGCTAAATGCACGTTTATTGTTGATGCCACTGGTGACTTGCAGTCGTTTGCTCTACAGCATTATTTTCACAATAGATGATTGATTCACAGAGTTTCGTGGGACACAGTTAAAAATGCTCTTGAACTGCCTTTCAGCTCTTCTATAAACTGATCTTTATTTGAGAGAGGTTTCATAAACTCTTTAAGTAAGCAAGGCTTACTTCATGATGATCTTAAAATTAGCATTTAGTAGAGTTCAAAGGAAAAGCTTTTATTTCTTTTTCTGTTTCTTTTTTTCTCCCAAGAGCAGTTTTCTAAAACTGGACTGTATTCTGGAAATAAGTTGTGGGATTTCCTTCCCTGCCAGCCTGTATGTCAGGAAGTGATAAAGTCTAATAACTGAAATAGAAAGTTAATTTCCTTTTAGGAACATAGTATGACACCTCAAAACAGACCTTTCATCTCAGGAATCATGAGTAACAGCTCCTCAGAAAAGTAACTAAGGAGCTCTAAGAAAACAAAATCACTCAGTAGATACTCAAATATATAGAATTCCATGGGAGATGGAATTTCTGCAAATACACAAGAGGGGCAATACGTTTGTCTTTTTTATCTGAAGTGTATATGTTCTAAAGGGTGTTCTCATTAAATGAGCCAAGCACCCAAGATGTGAATGATGTAACTCACAAAGGTTCCATGAGAGGCATTCTGCAGTATAATGAACCATACATTAAGCCTATTCGCATGCAAATTTTCCACTTTTCCTTCAAAAGGACTGTGAAAATTATGCCATGTATGTCTTACGAATGTAGCCTATAGGCTGAAGGAAAAGGCTAGTTATTAATTACTTAAAGGTAAATGCAATCATTTGACGTGACATCAGCCCCTGGCAGCCTCTATCAGGTATTTCAGATAACAGATTGCCCTTTAAACCGCTCTGCAATATTGGATTCCTTGGCTTCCTGGAAACAAGCTCGGTCCCCAGAGGGCAAGATACAACGCACTTGCATGCCCGTGCCTGGCAAAGAACATGTCAAACAACGTTAAAAACTCCAGAAATCACCTCTCAAACATGTCAGTACAGAAGACTAATCTAAACAAAGACAAAAAAGAACAGGTGTCAGGGGAACACGTGAATCACTGGCCGCTCATCACTGAACAAGAGACCCATGGTGGATACCTCAAAGCAAAGACACAGCCGTCTACTACAAACGAGAAGGGTTTGGACTTGGATAGTCAAAATATTCTCAGATTCCTTCTACAAATTTGGTACATTTTATAATAGCCACTTAATATGTTCTGATATATGCCAGCAAATACATTTTAAGTTATTTTTCTATCAAGCTGTGAATGATGATATTGTCGTATCAAGCTATAAATGTCATGTGTGTGGCCTTTAAAGGGAGAGAGATTTGAACAAACCTCCGTTGAAAGAGAGATTTCTGAACAGTCCACACTATGACTTAAATTTTTGTCAGGGCTTACATTATGAAGCACCTCTAAAGAACTCTCACTGTACTGAATAAAGCTCCAACATACACATGTCCTTACCCCTATAAGCTTTGCCACATTCACATGAGCCATGAAAGTCCCCACTATGGAGTAAAGAAGGCGCCTTCCTGGGTGCAAGGAGATCGTCCTTGCTCCATTAGTTTTCCTAAGTAGACACAACACCCACACTCCGTAGAAAGAAATGGCTCACAGTCATTTTGACACTGACGTCCCAACATGAACTCACGTGCACTCTCCCGCAGTGGCTCTACCTTCCTCCCACAGTCTACTCTTTTCCAATTTCTCTCTCAATCAAACACCATACTATATCTCCAATCTTGGAGACTGAAAGCTTTGAATCTTTCATCTTTCCCCATTTTAAGGTTGTACAGACTTTTTTCCCCTTCGGAAAGCCCTCTGTTACCACTTCTGCATTCCTACTGGTGGATCAAGGCACCTTTCCGCTAACTCAGTCCTCATTTCCTCCCACCTGAAGAACACTCCCACCTAGTCTCTGTAATTGGAGGGGCCCATTCTTAATTGGTAGGGATAGTCCTGACAGGGCTTGCAAACCCAGGGACCCTAAGAGCAGCCCTGTGTAATTGCTGCTCTCCTTGTGTGACCTCTGCATCTGTCTAGCCTTCTGGAAGATGAGGCATTTAAGTTCATATGTGGAAGGACTCCTTGGGCACCAGGGAAACTCATGTTTCCAGTTACCAAGACTATGGATAGCTTTAAAAATGTATTATTTTCTTACTTGATCTATCAGCTGAAGTCTTATCTTAACAAAAAGCAGTAATCTATTTGCTCTATTTCTACACAGTCTAAAGGAAAACAAATCATTTTCTCTTTCAAGGCAATGTTTTCATACAACTCTTCTTAATGCTCAGTAACAAATGCTGGGATTGGATCTACCACCCTCACTCCTGTGCTCACAAATACATTTGCATATCAAGTTTCCCTAAATACTTTCTAAGACAGGAAGTAAAGGAAAAAAGAGAACTCTATTACCTTTGCCAGAGGTTTGGGATTTGATATGTTTGCATTCGCATCTCGAGCTTCACTGGGGATTCGCACTCCAAAAGACCAACCTCCAAGCCTATTCACAATAAACATTGTGTTACTGTTTCAACCAAGGGATGCCAGGACTTCTAACCAGGGGGTGTTTCATTACCAATAACGCTAGTTACAGTGGTCTTAGGACAGTAGCCAGCTGAGCACCCACGGTCTGTGGCATGACCACGCAGGCTGAGGCACAGTGCCAATGAGAGTGGCCTAAGTCGGGCATCCAATGAAGGGCACTGCTTTCAGAGAAGGTCTGGATAAGGCTGGCTGTGTTACAGAGTGTGCTTGTCAGAACTTACCATCTTGTTCGGAAATACATGACGTATAGTGGATACAGCCATGATCATCAGCACTCTAATTATTTTAATTAATGGTCATTTCCCCTACAAATGCACTATTCACAATTACTCACTCTGTCGGGATCTTTCGAGCCACTCTGGTTTGCCTTCCCCACTCTATTTTTTTTTACTCCTCCACTCAGATTTTGCCTGATTCAGAAAGCCATTTCAGAGAACTTCAGTTGGCTTAGATTATTCTTCTGAGTTCTCACAATATCCTACATTTCCATCCATTGCACCAATTACTGTTTTAATTGTCTATTTGCTAGTTTATCTTTTTATGTAGCTCTGTGAGTTCTTCCTGCGTGGGAATTATATCTTTTCTCTCCATATCTTCATGGGTTGTGTATCTTGCACCTATTAAGTTTCCAAAAAGTAGTTAACATTAGATATAAAGGCACATTTTAAATGTTGTTGCCCACTCTCTGGATCAACGGAGACTGAAGAACAGTCTTCTACCAGAGTGCCCCAACTCTCAGCAAAATTGCAGGCAAGGAAGAAGGATATATTTCCAATTGGCTCAATTGAATATATTCATTCATTCAGCAGATATTGATTGAGCATCTTTAATGTGCCAGATACTATTGTAAGTTCTTGGCAAACAAGCTCCCACCCTTCTAAATGCTATCCATCAAGGATGGGAAAGAAAATCAGAGATTCTAGGCCCTGTTTAAAGGCATTCAGAGGCGAGGCAGGCAAGCCACACCAGGGCAGGGGGCAGTGTCCAGGGAAGATGAAGACACACTGGCCTCGCATGGCAACGATGAAAAGGGTACAGTAAAGGACAGCGGGGTGTCCCAGGCAACAGGGACAGCCTGTGGGAGGCCTTCCCACGTGAAGAAATGCAATGTGTTTGGGGGACTTAGGAAATTGACGGTGTGGAGAATGTTATCAAGATTTACAGCCCTGAGAAGTACTCACGGCCGCCATCTGTCTCCCTCAGCCAGATTCTCCCCCTCAGGCTCCAGGAAACGCAACACAAAACAAAAGCTTTCCCAAAAATCACCCAAGAGGAATTTAGGACACCAGTTTGTACCCAGGTTCCCATATTGGAAGCTGACTAGTAGGAGGAATTCTAAAAGGAGGCCATTATTCCACTATGCTGTTAACTCATCTGCTCTTACTACCCACAGTGGTCAAACCACTTCCGGCTCTCCTGCTTCTACCACTGAGGAATCTCCATTGCTAGATTCCCCCCAGCGTGCACAGGAGTGAAAGTCAGCAGTGGGGGATCTTACAAGGCCTGCTGCAATTCTTTGGAATGTTTATGAGCACCGAGGTTAGTATTAGACTTCTGAGTTTTTAAGAACATTAACATTTGAAACAATAGGTTTTCCAAAGTTCTTCAAAGACAATAGGAAAGACCCAGCGACAGTTCTGAACACACCTTGGTTTCTCAGAGGGCAGCAGCAAGAACTCCTCCACGTCCAAGCCTGAGAGGTTCAACAGCGTGTGGCCCAGGCGGCTGGTCAGGTAGGGCGCCCTGGCACTTCTATTTGGACACTTCTGTAATTGTTTTCAAAGACATGGAATAGAAATTTAGTTATAACCCACAAACTGGTTTACTGACATTACTTTAAACTAAATGTGATTTTTTTCTTGCTTTCAATTTTTAGTAAATTTTCTGTGGCCTTTTATAGGGTCTGATTTCTAAAATCTCTTTAAGAGTCACCTACATTTGAGAATTACGCCAAAATTCCACCAATACCTTTGCAGTCAATTATATCTGAAAATTTAGCATGTTTGTCTGTATGTAAGTTTGGGTGGATTTGTAAGAACTAAAAAAAGAAATGTGTTTTTTAGCAGGGTGATTCTGCATTTGATGAACCTGAAAGAGAGTCCAGGCAACTAGTGGGGGGAAGAGTAATAGGAGAATTCAAAGGTATGTGTTTCTTTCATAAATGTCTAAAGTAGAAATCAAATAGCTCTCCTCCAGTGACACACTAGAGTGCTAGCACCGGCTCTGAATTATGAAATAATCACCAAACAAGGTAGGAAGCAATAGTTGACACAACATGAATCTAGGGCGCTGGAACCTGCTCAGTGATGCGCCCCACCCTGCCGCACATGGGGTGCAGACTTGATGTGCTTGGTGTCTGTTTCTCAAACAATTTAGGGAAAGATAATATATTAAAATAGGAAATGACTCTGTCTCTGTGCCTCTTATTTCGGCTTAGGAAACTTGTTTTCTCATTTGCAACATGGAAATAAAAACAGCCTTACCTAATGCATGGATTTGCTGTTAGGTTCAGATATATGAGAAAGAATTATGGCAAATTAAGATGGGCTATGTACATTTAAGGTATTACTTGATAGAAAAACTTAGAAAAAGACACTATAAAGAATAATAATTGTAAGTTATTAATAAATATATTATATTAATATATATGTTAATAATACATATTAATATATAATATAATTTGGCCAAATTATATTAATAGAATTTTAGATTTCACACTCACATGTGAAATCTAAAAAAATTGAACTCACATTAACGGAAGCAGAGTAAAATGGTGTTTTCCATAAGCTGGGAGTTGGGGAGATTTTGGTCAACGGACACAAAGTTTCAGTCAGACATGAGGAATGAGTTCAAGATCTCTCTTGTATACTGTGGTGACTACAGTTAATAACAATACGTTGCATAACTTGAAAATTGCTTCAGTGTCCTCTCAAACAAAAGGTAAGTATGTGAGGTAATGCATATGTTGAACAGCTTGATTTAGCCATTCCACAACGCGTGCGTACATCAAAACATGCACCTATTAATACCACAAATATATATAATTCTGCTTGTCAATTTAAATAAATGAATAATAAATAAATAGATCAAACTCAATTATCTCACTCATAGATGAACGTAACAAACCTTTAAAGTGTCCCTGCAAGTGTCCCTGAAGAGCTTCCCTCTTCAGCCCCTTTACCTTGGCACCAAAATGCATCTTTCTAAATTGTTTTCATTTAGATGATTCCCTTACTAAAAAATTCAAATTCTTATCAAGAATTCATGTCTACTACAAAATGTTTTTAGTCTCTTTTTCTAACCCTTATCTGTGTAGGTGTCCCCAAATAGACCCTCTGTACTAAGCTGGATAATGGCCCCACCCAAAAATATCTTTGGAATCTGTAAATGCTACTTTATGTGTCAAAGACCTTGCAGGCATTGTTAAGTTACAGATCTTGAGACAGGGAGATTGTCAGGGTGAGTCCTAATGCCATGTAACACCGTAAGAGGGAGCTAGAGGGAGATTAGGCAGAGAGAGAAGGGGAGGAGGCACCGTAACCTCGGAGACAGAGACTGTCGCGAGGTGGCCACAAGCCAAGGACTACCAGGAGCCATCAGAAGCTGGAAGAGGCAAGGTGCAGATTCCCCACTAGAGCCTTTGTGGGGAGCACCTTAATTGCATCACGGTGATACCGATTTCAGACTTCTGGCCTCCAGAACTGTATGAAAATAAATTTATGTTTTTGAAGCCACCCAGTGTGTGGTAATTTGTTACATCGGCCACAGGAAATAAATATACCCTCCACTCACTCTATCTAAAGCCACATTCGTCCCTGATTACATGTATTTGGTCATATTGTCACTGTTACTGGTGAGAGGTCAGGCCCTAAAAATTCCTGCTTGTTCTTCAGCACTAGCTCAATTCCTGTTCCCACTGGAGCCTTCTCTAATGGTGTGTCTTCCAAACAAAGTCTCCACCCTCAGAAGTAGAATTAACCTTGAAACTTTTTTGTGAGTTTGGAGATAGCCATGGTGTCTTTGAAAAAAATACAAGGGAACAGACATATCCTTGACGACCCAGGACTTCTGAATTGCATGTATGGATTTAAGGAGAGAGAAACCTTTTGCCATCCAACAAAACACAGTTAACTTGGCTCAACACAATTATAAAGACAAGAGAACTGGCCTTGGGTCGGGGTCTTTCTTCCACACACCTCTGTGTACGTCTCTTTCGAGCCATCCCTAACAAGCAACACCCATTCCTTGGGAATGTGATCTGAGAGAGCAAAATAGATACTCCTTTGCCAACTAAGATAGACCCTAAGGTTAAGGGAACAAAAGTGACCTACATGCCAAGAGTTCAGGGCTCAGCTGGTATGGGAGCTTCCTAAATTCCTACACACCTTTGTTAACTTCCTAACAACAGGAGCTATGGGCAAATTGTCAGACCCTTCCTAACTCTGATGTACAACCCAGACCACTAGAGCTCTGACTGCACCGAGGGCTGGACTTACAAACATTCCTTCCTGATAAGCAGCTACAGACCTGAAGCCAGTTTAGATGCTTAAAGAGACTGCTCACAAATGGTCTTTGTGTCATGTAGTTCACCTTTTGATGCAAAGAGCAAAAATTCTACCTCATTTTAATGCTAAAACCACACCCCAAGTGAATATATATGTTTACCCATTGTGCACGCAGTTGACCTCCCTCATAAATGTGTATAGCTTTTCCCCCAAACCTGCTGGATGTGCATGACTGTGCAATACAGACCCTGTGAGGCATGAACCCAAACTGCCCTCTCCTTCTTGGAGGAGGGAGCACCTTTGGTCCACGCCGGAGACTACTTCTTCCCGGTTTGCAAACTGCTATCACCAGGACAGCTTTCTTTCCCACTATTTAGCCATCTTAGTGGTCTTTTGGATGACAGGAATTCCATTAATGCCACCTCAACTCCCTCTTTCCCAAGGTTCTCTGATTTCTAACGTGTGACCCAGTATTTCTCAAAATGAGTCACAAAAAATATAGGTGCCACAAAAAGGAAGGATTCTTTAGAAAAAAGTTGCAGAAAATGCTGCATCTCCTGCACCCCACTGTCAATTCAAGTGTAAGTACATTATCAGATAACAGCTTCTTAAAGGAGCCATAGCAAAGAGACCTGTTTAATACTGCTTTATCCAAGATTTATGAAACTTATTTGGCTATGGAACTTTTTCATGTGAAACCCTTTTTTCACACATAGATATTGCTGAAGTCTTACAGTTCATGCGAGTTGGAGTGAATTTAGGAACATAAATATCAGCCATTCTGATATTTATTAACTCATTCCTTTACTGTTGGCACTCAGCCTAATTCCGACAGACTTCAGGTAGCTAGTAATAAAAGCTACTGGTATAATAGATCAATTCAATTAAGGTTAGAGAGAGAACAGAGCATGAAGTAAAAAATTAGAGATTTCGTGAATGGTGGAGTACAGAAGACAATTGCCAAAATATGGCATTTGAGCATGCTGGGTACTTCTGTAGATCGAAAAGCCTCATAAATGAGCACCAGAATCAAGGTCCCTCTACCCTCTTCTTATTCCCACCAGCCTCAAGCTCAGGGGGACCCTCTTTAGAATTTCCTTATGCAGCCAATAAAGTTTCTTATCAAGAGAAAGACAAATGCCTTCCATCCCCTCCCTGAAATCCCACATCTATTACAGAAGAGAAGGCTCAAGAATGCAACCACACCTGGATGGACTTTCACAAGATGAGGCCTGCTTCTGGGGCTCATTCAAATCCCAAAGAGAATCATTTACAAGTTAACTTCTGTCTCCCCGTCCATTCATTCTCCTTAGTAATCCATTCCTGCCCCTCGAAAGAACTGTATACATTCTCCATCTCCTCCTTCCCCTATGGAAGAGCATATAAGCTTCTGTACCCCAAGGGGACTTTGGGGTAATTGCTCTGTGATTCTCTCCGCACACATGTTAATAAATTTGTATGCTTTTCCCCTATTAATCTGCCTTTTGTCAGTTGATTTTCAGAGGAGAATTTTCAGAGGAGAAGTTTGCCCTTTGACTCTACAATAAGTAAATGGAAAAAACAAGACAGGGCAAAAACAAACAAACAAAAAAACAATAATTGTGCCCCCAAAAAACTAGAGCAAAATATAGCTGGTCACTGCAAGGGAGTACCAAAGATAGCAGAGTTTATCGACAGCCGAGGTCAAAAGGGAAACACGCAGAATGCCATTAGTTCTCTGAGGTCAGCCAGCACTTTGAGCGCCCATTATGGTGCTGTGTCCTTACTCTCCCTTCCAGGTGCGCCTTCTGCCTAAGAGAAGAAAGCAGACTGGGTCCTCCAAAGCAAACTTTCTAAAGTCACTAAACTGTGAGAAAGAAAAGAAGGTTTTTATCTGAGAATTCAAGCCCCCTGTAACTCATCAGGCCCAGAGAGGCACAGCAACAAGATGGCGGTCACATCCCACAGTCCTTGGACTGAGTAGCTGTTTTGAAGCTGCCTGCTACATGGACTCCAGACCGGCACCACCAATAGCTATAAATTAACCTAACAATGCTACATCCTGGATGCCATAACTCCTGCCCTATAGTTCAGCGATGCATAGCCAATCACTAATCAGTGTTATTTCTGTAAACCTATAAGAATTCCTAAAAAGCAACTTTTGTAATCACCCCTTTCCTGATTCATCCTTTTTTCCATTAAAAACTCAAGCCTCTCCTTTGTTCTCTGGAAGCACTTTCCAAGACAACGTGGAAGTGTGTCCTGGCTGCAGTCTTCAAAGTTGGTCCAAATAAACTCTCTACCTATATTAATTTCCTCAGTTTCTTCCTTTAGGTAGACAATTATTAAGAGCGATACGTTCCATGGCTACTAAAGAGAAAGACCCTGTAAACATGTTCTCCATGTGGACATTTCCTTTATAGATGCTCAATGCACATAAAATAAGATTTTTTCCTTCTCCTTTTTTCCTGTAAATTAGGATTGCTGCACTAGCTTGTTGATTGTGGTTAACAGGTCCATGCCTTTTATTAATTAGTTTTCGATATTTCCTCTGAGATGAGTTCCAATCAGTTTTTGAAATAGATTTCAATTCTTTCTCCCTCACAGACTAGATGGAAATAGCCCTCACCTTAGTAGTGGTAAAGCCATCTATATTAAAGTAACGTAAGGCAAAAAGCAAGAATTGAGGTCAAAGTCTGATTGCTACAGAGGTGTAGCCATAGCTAAAAGTTAACCAGCCATTGTTTCCTGGCTTGCCTTCCTGTAACTGCTTACTGCCTAAGAGTCATGTATCCCTGACTGCTGTGACATTTGTGACTTTCCAATTGCTTCTGTAGATAACATTACTATTGTAAAACCTAAGGCTGGTCTTTGACATATCTTCCAGACTTTGCATTCAGGGGGATCAAGTGATGCCAACTAGACCAGTGGCTGTGTGTGGGAACCGATTCAATAGGAACTCTCTAGGCAAAGAAGACAATTTCCGCTTCCCAACCCTGTGAGATCATCCCCGGCCAATTAGCAGACCCAATTCTCTAGCCCTTTATTTACCAAACTATCTTTAAAAAGCTTAGCCCTAAAATTTTCGGGGAGGCTGATTTGAGAAATTTCTTCCGTCTTCCTGCTCGGCATCCTGCAATACTCGATAAATTCTTTCTCTGCTGCAAACCTGCTGTCTCAGTGTATTGGCTTCCTCCTGGGCAGCGGGCAAGGAATCTGATTGGGTAGTAACAGCGGCACACCTGCTTCCATCTGTTTTCGTATTAATTAACCATAGTTAGAGTTCTAAGTGGCATCTTAGCCCTTAACATCTAACTCAAATAAAAATATGACAAGAGCCTTGAGGTCATCCTGCCTTGAAATTTGGGGAAATTTTCTTCCAAAGAGCAGTTCTAGCTTCCTTATCATTAATTGAAGAGGATTCGTTTGCTTAATGAATGCCAGTGGGGGTGTTAATGATCAAAGGCAGTAGGCAGTGAGTGAGAAGGGCACTGCCAGCCTATACAGTGTCCATGCTGTATAAATGTTCACTTCATGCGACGAAACTTCCCAGAAACAGCTCACCTAGGGAACCAGAAAGTCATAGCAAGTCAGTTAACAAAAATAAAGACTTTATAGATGGAGTAAACTCATTTTTGTCACTTGAGGTTTAGATCTTAAAAAATCAAAAATGCCGCAGAAATGTACCAGGCAGCCACAGGAATCCTGGAATTCCAGGTGAGAAAAAGGATCCGTGTGCCAGCACGAAGAATTCTTCCTAAAAAACAAAAGAGAGAACTGGGATGATCTTTCAGAGTACAAAGCTATTGTATTTCCATAAAAGAGAGTTCCATCAAACTAGAACAGAGTTCACAAGACAATCACCTCCTACCGCCAACAAGGCAGAGCTCTTACATTTGTTTTCACAGCTTGAGCTCTTAATCTGATGACAATGTTTTATTACAACGCCAGTATTTCATTATGTCACATGACGCTCACTTGCCTCACTGTACTGAATGCACCCCCAGGGCTCCCTGCGACTTTCACGGGGTGGGGGCTGGGTTCGTGGTGAGTCCTGGTCCCAGCCTCAAAACCAGGTAACAAGAAGCAATTAATAAACACGGTGACCTGCTAATTCCCTTTTGTGGCATGACACATTAACTTCATCATCATTTAAAGAAAAACAATTATTAAGTTTCCATTTTGAAAAAGTGTTCCATTTTGTGCAACAGAAACAGCATTTGTAGCTGTGGTTCAAAACACTTTTTTATTCCAGAGTTTTCCTAGAGCTTTTGTTTTTTCCTTGTGAGTCCCTTACCTTAAAACACTTTTTCTAATATTTTTAAATCAAAATTTGCTTTAGTAATGATAATTATTCTTAATCACTCAAAAATTGGAAAAGAAGGCGGGAAACTAACATTTCTGAATTACAAGCACCAGCTAGATATATTTATCATAACCCGAACTAGCCCCACTTTTAGGAAGAACAAGTAGGGTCCTCAGAATTGAAGAGGCTGCCAAGATCACGCGGTGGAAGGATGGGCCGCCAGGCTCCAAGTTTGGGCTCTGTGCTCCAAGTGTGCTGCTCCAATGAGCAATAGCCAGGGTGACAACACAGAGTTGAGAAAGTCCAGGCCAAGGGAAAAGAAACTTGCCATTTCTATTAACCAGGTTGGCAAAGTACAATTTCCATGTAATTTTTGAAATATCAAAAATAATTTAAAGACTTCTCCACTATTATGTTCTTGACTGAATAGCTTATGGAGACTCCAGTTTGCAACTTAAAAGTTTACATGGAAACAATACCTAAGGGAGTTACATATTTCATCAGAGTACCGAATCTGAGAAACACTTTTCAAAATGTAACTCAGTTTTTACTTCAACTCAGCTGGCTCTTATTCCTTCCAATGCCTGCCTTATGACAGTTAGCAAGTGTTTATAATTTAATAAACAATTTCAAAAAGTTCTTTTTTTCTTTTCCAAATCCTTCCTTATTCTTCTCCTAGCTCTCTTTTATAGAGTAAAAATACGTGACTATGAGAGCTGCACAACGATCCCTGACAGCATTGAACAGATTTCGGTTTTCCGAGCAGCTCTCAGCCCCCAACGACTTTGTGTTCAAACAGATGCGCTAAGAAGCTGTGTGAGCCTTCTTAAAGGGCACAGAAGGGATGATGTGTGAGGAATTAGATGTTTCTACATAAATTTCCTTCCAGAGTTTAGGAGTCTAAACACACACTTTGACTTAGCGAAGCATTTCCCCACAGTGGTCTCTAGGACACAGCAGCAGTGATGCTCTTCCAGAATAAATGTCTTGAATAGGGTCACTTGGTTCTTAGGGTTCGGGCGTGCTGGGTTAAATAGGTCTCTCTACCGCAGGGCTGCCTGGGGTTTTTAATAGTCTAATGTGCATTTTAACTCTTGAAGAGACAGGCAGAATCTCTAAGGACCTACTCTCTTTTGAGATTTTTAAAAGAGTCAATTTGTGAGGTAGGGACTTGCCTAAACAGAACAAAAGCTCTCCACGAGGTCCACCTGTTGCTTGAGGGGAACGTTGTTCTTTCTACAGAGCAGGGAGCACATTGATGTAAACATAAAAGGCAGACAGAGGTTCAGTAAGTTGCCTGGGTCACAAGCCAAGAAGAAGTGGCACCAAGATTTGCATTCCCAGCCTGGTCCCTGAGGTGCGTTCTCCACCCCTCTGCCGCAACACCTGATACACGCGTTCTCCTGTACTTCCGACCCTTGAACTCAACTCTCCTCTTCACAGTCCCCTCAGAGGGCATCCAACCACGCCAGGCTCCCAGGATCCCACTGCTTGAGGAAATGAGCCTTCGAGATTTTCGTAAGCACTGGAAATATGAGATCACTAAAACAATTTATCTAATTTATCTTAAGATAAATCTTAAGATTTATCAATTTATCTTAATTTTACTAAGTTATGAAAATAATTCGTATACATTTCCCCACTTGGCTTTTTCAGTTTGATAGAAATATAAGATGTGATAATTACCACTTTTGTTCTGTATTAAATTCTTAATGAGAATGAGTGGGTCAAGGGACCATTTTGCCTTAGAAACAGTAGGGGAATTCACCACTGGGGTGCCACCAGACAGGAGCCTTGTAAAACGAAACTAAATATGTAAATCTGCAGTCAGCTTCTAAAAGTTGACAACTTTAGCACATTTTAAAATGTAAATTATACATTGCCTACTATTATGAGAAAACTTTTATTTTAGGTCACATTTATACCACAGTGGATTTTTCTGGAGCTCTTTACTGTCTTCTGTATGGCAGGGAGGTAGAGGTCAGAAGTTCAACACAACACCCTTGCACTGACACTCCGAGGTGAGCATCTCAACAGAAAAACAGCCTAGCAGTAGAATCTAAGCTATTATTTTAAATGTTTCCCCTAATTAATAATCAAGTGATTGCTTGAGTCTGCCAGGAAGGTAAAATATAGGCATCATTGAATTCAATAATATTTTACACTTATGGAAGGAAATTTACTTATTTTAAATATAACTTTTTGCTTCGATTTGGGACCCTAGTGAACCAAGCCCTCTGTGTGTAATAGGGACATAAACTGGTGCTAATATAAGTATTTCTAGCATCCTTGCATGCACCAGCCACCCCACCCCACCCCATCCTTTTCTATGCTGACATGGAAAATAGGTAGAAATTGTTACAAAATAGGAATGAGTTAAGGATAGATTAGGTGGTTTCACAAAGAAAAGAGAGAACATGAAAACATAAATCTAGGAAGGCAGAAGAGAAGACAGAGAAGAACAGCAGCGAGGCTGAGCTGCAGGCTGGGCTGTGTGCAGGAGCCTGGGGGACAGAAGGAGGAGGGGTGGAGGGCTTGGGTTGGGGGGAACTGCCACCCATGTAAAAGGAAAGAGAAGTAAAATAGATGTCCAATGAAATTTTGAATATGTTCGCTGTCCTTTAATCATTGATTCCATCTTTTTCTCCCTCCTTGAGAGACTAGATAAAAGAACTTTTCTGTGCTAATTGGTCCTTCTTTGATGCAACGTTGGGCCAGGGCTGGACCACGTGGGTCCCTGGGTTACATTTCAATTTCCCAAAGATAGATGTATTTCACATCCTGCGTGTTTCCTCAGAGGGGAGGGAAATAAAAACATCTTCATGGAAACCTTAGTTAAATAAATTACTTTGTTTTTTAAGAGACACCAAGAGTGAAGCAACATAATTAATTTTCTATTAATTCTTCCTGACTGAGACCATTAATAGTCTCAAACTAATTACCAACATGACTAATGGGCAAAATATGTCATTGCAAATTAGAAAACATATTGCTAATACTGCATTATTGTCTGGATTTTTAAATTTATTACTTAAAAACATAGATTTCTGGCACTTAACATACCATTATGGTTTTTATCACTTGCCTCATTTGCCCTACCCAGGACTTTAAATGCCTTGAGACCAGGGCCATATTCTTTATTGATCCTGGTTCATGCAGCAGCACTTTATTTATAGTAGACCCTCGATAAATAACAGTTGAGCAAAATAAGAGGGAAAGAACTGTTTATGAAGAAAGGCATGACTTATCAAGGTTCCATAGAAAGGTCATCACTATAATCATTTTTAAATCCTAGAAAAATAGTTTTCAAAGTAATTCACCCCACATTGGTATGCAGTACTGACCTTTAAGTCGCTTAAGTTAAAAAAAGTAATTTTTTCATATGTACAAGTTTTCTGTTAAAGTAAATAACAGTTAATATATAATTTATATTTAATTGCTACTTCATTCTTTTTAGCTTTGGGCTTTATTAAGCAAATTGAATGCCATTAATTATTAATAATTTTTTGCAGGAATATAAAGCATGTGTCTATAAAAGGAAAAAAGGGGCAATTACGTAGCTTATTTCAGGTTATTTTTACATGTTGACATCCATTAGGCCTGTTCAGTATTAAACTACTCATTAAGCTAATGTTCATTTCTTGTAATATAATGTTGCAACATGAAATGACCAATCATGGAGAAAAACGGTCCTCCCAGGCTACAGTGTTACTAGCAGGAAGTCTTCAGTTCTGCAGAGGGCATATGATACTTACAGATCTGTGTTTAAATCGTCACAGAGCAGATCTTGATCCCTAAATTTCTGCAGAAGCACATGGGTGAGGTCCACGTCATCGCTCTCACTGCTGTTCATTATGAGACAAAGGAAATAAAGTGGGATTATTAGTAGCTCCCAAACGAGAACATAAAACCAGATTCTGACCTCACATTGTGCCCTGTCAAGCTGGTCTGAGTAAATGATTCCTGCTAACATGGATAAAGCTATTTTTCCACTGTTTTTATGGTAAAGCCAAACAAGCAATAAAATTTGAAAATGTATTAAAAGCAGAGTCTTGCTATTACAGATATGCATTTTTATATACTTGCTTTCACAGTATATTATTTTCTCATCTTTTCACTCAATATTAGAACATAACCATTTTTCATATATTTACATGGTTTTTAAAAACAAATTTTAAAGGCTGAATAATATTACATCACGTTAATATATCAAAATCTATAAAACTGTACTCTCAGTGTTGGAGCTCCGGATTGGTCTGAATATTTGTTCTGTTACACAGCCCTGCAGTAAACCAGCTTCTTATATTTACATTGTTTGGTTTCTATATGTGAACTATACTGAACTATATTTTCTTATAAGAGGTCTTCAACACAGAATCCTATGAGGTCCTCAATACAGAATCCTATGTGTGCTTTAAGTACACATTGGATTATGGTATTTATTTTACTGATATAAGTCTTGGAAGTTTATTAATAGTTCAAGCAGCTTTACTGAAAACCAAGGCCACCGGCACTGAATTTCCTTACTGAAAATACCATCAGCAAAAATCACAGTATTCATGTAGCTCTGGGGGAGGTGTAGAAACAAACTCTATATTAAATTTTACACATCAATTGTAAGGAACACCTTGATTTGAGAAAATGTGGAGGAAAAGAGATCTTAAACTTCTCTAAATTGGACTGAATGAGAGTGGGGGCTCATTTCAATTAATTAAAATTCTAAATTATAGTATTTAGAAAAAATATAGATTTATTACTTTCCAGAATTTTCATTGTGTTATATACAAAATTCTTTTCCAGTAGATATCTTTGGGAACACGTGTCTCAAAAATAAAGAAGAATGATGCATAATTAGCATTATAAATTAGTTATGTGTACATGAAGACCTCAATTATTTTTGGAAAGAATTACTACAAAAATTAACAAATGTACATAAGTGGTTCCTTTTAAAAAACTTATAACATTAGCTTCTTTTAAGAACTGCAAGCATTACCAGAGGCTAGAAGGGGCAGGGGGCAGGATAAAGAGAGGTTGGTTAATGGGTACAAATATACAGTTAAACAGAAGGAATAAGTTCTAGTGTTCAATAGCACAGTAGGATTAACAACAATTTATTGCATATTGCAAAATAGTGAGAAAATTTTAAATGTCCCTAACACAGAGAAATGATAAATGTTTGAGATGATGGATATCCTAAATACCATGATTTGATCCTTACACATTGTATACATGTACCAAAATATCATATGGACCCCATAAATATGTACATTTATTATGTTACAATAAAAAGTAAAAAAAGAAAAAGAAAAAAAGGAATGTAAGCAACCTAATCTTAAAGCATTGATTTTTCTAATTATATTTTTTGTCCACAGACAATAAAAAGTTGACTCCCAAATACCTTTCTGAGTTGCTATCAGCATTCAAATATAGGGAGTTCTGAGTTACTTAGGCTTACTGCACCCCCACATCCTGCAGTACAAACGTAAGCCCAGAATGAGAAGAAACTTTCATATTTGTGCAGCACAACTCTACACATAAACGGGAACTTTACGGGTTCCCAATTTCCCTGATTCCCTCAGTGAGCTCTCTAACACACCAATCTGACATTTTCCCTGCTCAAAATGTATCAATGACTCTTTATTGTCTATGTGCCTTGAAATAGTATTGAAATCCCTCCACAGTCTTTGGGCCTTGACATCTTCAGCCCTGTTGGGCATTCTCTTCCAGAAGACAGCACCCAACCCAGCCTAGCCCAGCCAGGCCCAGCTGAACCCCTTCCCAACTAGGCAGATTCGCCTTTGTGGATGCTGATCCTCTGACCTCTATGCCCAGCTTCCTGGATACTTGCTTGGGAGGCTTGGCTGGCACTCTGATGCCATGATGAGCCGTCCCTGCCTCTTCTCTACTGGTTCTGCCCAGCGGCCCTGACACACGCCTCCGCCAGACTTTAACTGTGGGCTTCTCATTACCAGAACAAAACAATCCTCGAGAGAAAGGGCACATACTCAGGACAGTAGTTGGAGCCCAGCACATTCTCAAAAATAATTTGTTGAACATACTGTGATATGCACTGAAATCATCGACCTAATCCTTCATCTCTATCCAATTATTTCACTTCCCTAAATCTGAGCTTCTCTGAGTTCTTACCATTCAAACAAGAACAAAATTTAACGGAAAAGAAACTGAAACTCATCATATCAAATTAGTATTATATTCTTAGGACAATTTGTTTTCAGAGCAGTAACTCTGCATTAACTTAGAATGCAAACACCTCTGTAGCATTCAAACCCAGAAAGAAATAGCTGTTTATAGGAAAACACTGTCTTCCCACTGCATTATATACAATAAAGATTTTTAAATATTCAGGTGCTTTACAACTGGCCTAATGTGATTCCCTACAGCTATGGTCAGAAATACATAATGACGGAACATGCTGAAATTTACAACAAAGTTATGTCTCATGAGTAGGCAGTGTGAGCTCTGTATTAACAGCCTTCAGGGTTCTAACAAATAATGAAACATTTTTATAAGGAAAGGGATATACTTTCTGCTCAAATGTGGCTTATATAAAAGGAAACAATTATTTGTGGCATTTTGGAAATACTCTGGACTGCTCTCCTGTGACCCATTAATCTAAGAACAAATATGAGAGCTTAAAATATTTTTCTGAAAAAATATTTGATCCATAAAGTAGTTTACTAGCAATAATTACTAATAACAAGTTTAAAAGTTATGGTTTATTTTTTATTATTTTTTTACATAGGTCTAGAGCTCACCATTTAAAAAAACAAAACAAAACCTTGTTTTAAAATATCTCCTTGATATAAAATTCAAATACTTATTCCTAAACTATCCTTCTTTGGTTGCCTTCAAACTCTTGCCTATATTTTTAAATAAATCTCAATGTTAGAAGCATTTGACATCTGTCCTTACCAGACAATTAGAAATTGAAAATTTCTGCTTAATTGTGATACCTGAGGCAGTTCATAAATGGAGTAATTTTCTCTCTTGAAATCATGATTTCTCAAAATTTAATGGGCATCAGAGTGACTCAAGGAACTTGGCTGAACAAATGCATACTCTTGAGCACATTCCCAAAGGGTCACCCTGGTTAACAAAAGCCCCCCTGTGATTCTGATTCAGATGAGGATCCAACCAACCTTGAGAAGCACTGGGGCTTCTGGGAAGACCTGCACTCTCTCTCCTTCCTTCCCTATCCTCTCAGCTCCAACCTTTCTACCTGTCCTGTTCCAGTCAGCTTCTGGTGTTGAACATTTGATTTCAGGTGAGGTGTTAGGCTCTGTGGGAGTTACCACTGGCAGACCTGACTCAAGGCTGTCCTTCCTGTAGGACAGGCAACATATAAATGCAATTTGAAGACCAGGAGCAGAGCGTCCAGAGGTGATGACCAGAAAGGACCCATCTTGGGAAGTGCTACCCTCAGAGATCTGCAAAGCCCCAGGTAAGATTGATCTCAGCACCCCCTGGTCTCAGTAGCCCCTAGTAGTCAAGAAAAATCTTGACTGATGCCTTCCTGTTCCTAAGTCTGGGAAAGTGTAGGAAGTAGGGAATTCGAGAAGCACTAGCAGCGCCCGCTGCTCCACAGAGGTGGAATGGGCTTGGGCTCCGCCTCTCTCAGAGCTGCCTCCAGTTGACAGGCAATGTCCTTGTCTGATCTGACAAAGCAGCAGTAACAATCACACATCCCAGGGGTCCCAGAAACCAGAGAAAAACTCAACCAGTACATATACTTATTAAAAATAAAATCACTGGAAGAATACCGACCCTAAACAAAACCAAACAATTAAGTAATAGTATTTGAGAGTCACAAGCACAGGACTTTCTGAAACCAAGAATGGTTTCCTGAAGATAATATTAAAGACATGAATTGAGTAAGATACTGGTCACTGTTTAGATACAAATAGTGATGTAGGAGAAATATCACAAACAGGAAAAAAATGAAGAAGAAAAGAAAATAAAAAGAAATCCTTTAGGAAAGATAAAGAACTCGAAAGACGGATGTTGGAGACCCTAGCGTGAGAAGTTCTGGGAGTTCTGAGAAGAGGTGAAGGGAAAAAAGATGTGAGGAAGCATTAGATCCACTTTAGAAGAAAACTACCCTGAACTGAAACAAGACCTAAGTCTGCAGGTTTGATGAGGAAACAATGGGGAAAAAATCCTCCCCTCCAAGGATAAAGATGAAATCTTACGTGAGTCCAGACATGTTACCCAAGAGGGAAGAAGAATCAGAAGGACTGCTCCAAATCATTCTTCATGCCCAGAAGCTACAAAAATAATCCCAATTATATCACTGCCCAGATTTTAAAACTTCCTAATGCCTCCCACATTCTGTTTGCAGAATAATGTCTACTCTACTTAGAATCTTACAGCACTTGTCAGAAAGCATAAAGACTTTGGTGGATTACCTTCATTACCTCCCATATTCATTCACATTTCTTCCTCTAGAGAAGCAAGGAGAGAAGAAACTTTCTCTTTTAAATGCCTGGGAAACACCTATTCAACTCTGAAGATTCGGCCCAGGGGCCACATCCTTAAATAACCTTCCTTGACACCCCGAAATAGATTCTCCCATACAGCTAAGGTGCAACGCTGCACCCAGTGTCTGCCTCTGTCAGCATTTCTAACACCTGCCCTCGTCTGTTTCTAGAGTTATTCTTTCCACTTGACTGTAAACTTTCTGAGGGTAAGACTTGTGTCTTTGTACACGTTTGTGGAATGAGAAATAGAGCCAGAATGCCTGTACTGTATTCTTTGTTGTTTGTTTGTTTTTGCTTTGTTTTTGTATTTTGGGGTTTGTTTTGTTTTGTTTTGTTTTGTTTTTGTT